TGGGTAGGAGTGCCTTCATTAGGCCATGCTGGGGTCAGGTCATCAGATGTAGTTTATGGAAATCCCCCCCACATCCTTGGTTTAGAGTGCTATGCCTGAGATCAGGTGCAAATATGAGACCTTCTCCATTGGATTTGTATATGCCTGCCATCACTGGACTATGTCTGGGTAAGAGATGGCCCGGTACAGTTAATGGGGAACCCACCAACCTATTTGGGTAAGAGTGCCATCACTGGGCCATGTCAGGTTAAGAGGTCATCAATTAAAATCATATTGTGGAAACCGCACAAGGTGTAATGCAGCTATTGTGTGATGTGCACATTTTCATATTTTTTTTCTTTTTTGCGTTTTGTTCGTTTTTTCTTTTATATACACGGGGCTAATTTTACGTTCTTGGTTCCTTCTCTTGTTCCCAAGGAGTCATTCTTCTCCATTTTTGTTTAGTCATCCTGCCAATGTCTTGAATTCATTTTCTAGGGTGACGGGGCTTCCTGAGCAGCTAACTCTCTAACCAGACAAAAAGTTTTCTTTAGCTCTTGGCGCTAATGGCTGCCAGCTGAACAATCCACTTGCTGTTGCTCACTCAAAGTTTTCAACAGTTTATCACAGTTTTTTTACACAGACTTGAGGGGCTGCTCATCCAAGGCTCTGGGGCTTCCACCACGAACGTAGAAAACAAAAGGGAACAGAGCGCCACCTCAGTGTGTAAAATCGTTTATTACAATAAATAAAACAAGGGATAAAAGTACTCGCAAACAAACGTTTTCATCAGGCTTTAACAACAAACGAGAGGCCACACTGTCTGTTGACCCAACATGGTATCCCCCCCGACTATGTAACACGGTAGTATCCGGTCACATCACCGACCGCAGTCAGCCAAGATTGACGCGTTTCAGGGGCAAGCCCCCTTCCTCAGAATCATCCTAACCCTAAGGATTAGCGTAGTCACTAGGGATGTACCAATACTAGCATTGGTGCCGAGACCGAGTATTTAGGGGAGTACTCGCCCAAATGCTCCAATGCTTAGCCCGATACCCGAACTTCGGGTATCAGGAAGCCAGGCAGCGCGTCATTACATGCTGCCTGGCTTCCTGATTGGCCAGCAGGCCGGGCAGTGTGTAATGACTAGCAGCCTAGCTTCCTGATTGGCCAGCTTCCCGACCAATCAGGGAGCCGGGCAGTGTGTAATGACTAGCAGCCTAGCTTCCTGATTGGCCAGCAGGCCGGGCAGTGTGTAATGACTAGCAGCCTAGCTTCCTGATTGGCCAGCTTCCCGACCAATCAGGGAGCCGTATGGCGAGTCATTACCCACCCACAGGCATCCTGATTGGCCTGAAAGCCGGCTCCATGCTTCCTTGTCACCTGGTGACGAGGGAGCATAGAAGCAGCTTTTCTGGTAATTGGGAAGCCAGGTGGCGAGTCTTTACACGTTGTCCAGCTAATCGGGAAGCCAGGTGGCGAGTCATTACACGCCGACTGGCTTTCTTTATGGTACTTTCGGTATTGGCGAGTACCGGGGAAAAAAAATATCCGTACTCGATACCAGAAAACCGGTATTGGTGCATCCCTAGTTGTCATCCATTGTGGACTTCAAGCTGACATGCACAGTGCACTTAATGCCTGGTATCCACAGGGAGTGCAAGGCCTCATGGGATGTCCACTCCATTGTAAGGAGACGGACGTCAGAGTGTACGGTGTAAATGCAAAAAATAGAAGTGGCAGAGAGAAGGGACTTGGGTGTTCACAAAAAGGTAAGTATTGAGAGTCACATAAGTCTGAGTTGCTGCCCCATCCATTGCCCGGTGTCACACCTGAACTCCTGAAAGTGCATAGCCAAATATAACAAACGCATAACAGAGCCATGCGGTATAGGAAAACTATACTGTAAATAAAGTTGGGGTCAGCTGCCCTTCTATATGTATACACTTACCCAACTCATTGATCCCAACCTCAGACCAGCAGGCAACCTCCTTCAACTGCTACAGCTCTTTAGTCCACGATCCTAAGCTGGCATTATGTGGGGTACTGCACATGCACGGTTTTTCCCCCCTAAACCCTAATGGAGAAGCCAGTTAGTTGCAAGATTGCTGGTTTTAGTTCTCTCTTCTGGTGGAGGATGTTATTGGCAATTTTGATGTTGGATTGGGAGGTTGAGTGGGCACAGTATAGTAGTTAAAGTGGCACTAAACTCAATAGTTAACCTCTTGCCGTCCGCCCGTAGTAGAAAAACGGACGGACGGCACTGCTGCATCTGCGGGTTAATTTAACTCCTAACAAAAATTAATCTTATTTGTGTATCACTCGTTGTAGATCCTCAAATCATCTCTGAATTGGTGCTGACACTGTCCTTCTGGAGGGTGGCTATTTTTGTTCTCCATGGTCTGTGTGTGTGTTTATAAAGTAGCCATATAGTAGACTATAATCTCAATATAAATTAGTAAACTAAACATAAGATTGTAGTCCATCACAGGACGAGCTTGGAGCGGTGACTACTTTAAAGCACACACAGGGACCATGGGGAACAAAAGTAGCCACCCTCCAGAAGGAAGGACAGTGTCAGCACCAATTCAGAGATGATTTGAGGATCTACAGCTGAGTGATACACAAATAAGATACATTTATGTTAATAGTGAAGGTACATGGATGCATTTTTAAGATTTGACTCCTGAGTTTAGTGTCACTTTAAAGTATAGTACCATTTAAGAGGAATGTGGGTAATGGGGCTCTGGTATTTGACCCAGTTATACACTCAGGTTTGGGTGGGGTGGAGGTGGTGTATGATGCCAGGCAGTTCACAGGGGCAGACTACAAGTGACCTCTGATCCCTGACACACTATAAAGTGTTGGGCTCAGACAAAACCATAAAGCTACATGAAGTGATGCATCTCATTTCTTTTGTTAGTAACGCTGCCTAGCACCACAAATTAAAGGTAATACGTAAACGTAACTTTGAAGGCCTTTTCCATTATCACATGTAGTATGTCCTTAACAATAATCGGTCATAGGTGATTTATGAAAGTGGAAAACCCCTGGACTTTTGAGCCATGGAGCAGCCGCCCAAAATACAGCTTTAAGGTTGCTGCTGCACTCGGAGGGTTTTTAGCCTTTGTAAGCTCCGCTCAGCTTAGCTACCACCTCGGAAAGTTCCATTTTTGTTCTAAAAAAGAAAATCTTGTTTTACACTGTCATCGTTCTGAGAGACTAGACATGTCATCTCTTAGGGCTGGTGCGCACCAAGGTGATTTATCACGCAAAACACAGATTCACAGTGAAGGCTGTTCACACCTTTTGCATTGCGCGGATGAAATCGCCTGTCACGCGCAAAGGTACAGGAGCTAATTTCGGCAGTTGTCGCACAGGTTTTGGTCCCATAGACATCTCCATGCATTGAAAATCGTGTGGTTTTCAAAGCAAAATTGCCCCCCAAAAAAGTGCGACAAATGTGTGAAAACTATTTCGCCCAGGTGTGACCCTGTCCTTATTCACTGATACCGGTGCTAAATGGTTATTCTAAATTGGCTAGGATGGTGGCTGTCATGCATGCAAATGTAGAGATGTGCGTTTCCAGTGCTGGTTCATGATCCAGAACTGAAAAGAATTTGCATGTTTGCTTATCCTGCCATGTTTCAGGCCTTATTTGCCTACATTTGGCATTCAGCATGTTAGAATATCCCCTGAACACAAAGGTGATGTATAGATAGCAGACACCACAGGGTGTGTTCAGAGCCCTCCCTTCAATATAAAGTGGTCGTCTGCTGCATGTCTCTTTATAAACATCCACGTGGGCTCAACAACAACCTCCCCCTCCCCCCATTATTGCCTTTGCAACCTATGTGTTTTGGGCCATAACTTGCATACAGAGTGTAAACTGTAAGGTCTGTCTTCCCCCAAAGCTAGTCTGGCGAATGGAGATTCCAGAGGTAAGATCGCCCTATGGTAGCTCGTGTGACTGACTCTTCTCACGTTATGTCTGAATTTACCAGTTATGTGTTTGTTTTACTTTATGAGAAATTCTTCAGCATAGTGTGACACTGTGACTTGACTTTTATTGGCCACAGTAGTTGAGCAGAACGGGGAGATCTGGTGGTTAAGAAATATGACTAGCCATTGTTTAAATGAAATTGCTCGCAATCATGCAAACTGAAAGCCAATTTTGGGTGGTTGGCTAGTAAATGCTACAAGATGCCACAAAGTGTTCTGAAACATTCAAATGTCCAGCCAAACATTTTGTTTTCTTGGATACAATGGGGAAGGGTTAGAACCCCTATCAGAATTTTACTGAGGTCTGGGGTTCTCACTTCCTTGTCTAATGACACTGTTTACCAGATATCGAACGCCATCTTCAGGGTTAGTTCACACCATAAGCAGTGCGCTCCCGTCCGATTCTGGCCGGAACGCACTGCCTGGCATTGTGGCCGGCTCACATTTTTGCTGGGCTGGAGGGGGCGTGACGGGCCATTGAAGTGAATGGCACCGTAGCAACGCCCTCCGGCCGCAATGCGATCACCCGCACGGATTCGCACGGCAACATTGCTTTAAGCACTATTTTGATCGCACCAGACTGCACTGCAGGCACAGCAAAAAAGTGAGCCGGCCACAATGCAAGGCAGTGCGTTCCAGACAGAATCGGACTGGAACGCACTGCTTATGGTGTGAACTAACCCTTACAGCTAATCTGATCAATATCAGATCAATATCAAAGTAAAAGTGGAGGGTACAAAGTGGGGACAAGCAGTCCTCTTAAACATAGCATGCAGAATCCAAGCCTAAAGATCTTTAACCCTTTGCCAGGACAGTGTTTTAAATCTAGTTAACTGATAATGAGATGTGACAGCATGGTACAGACAGGGTTAGTTATAGTTAAAAGGCTCCTTAACACTATGAGGGGAGGGGGGGTGAAGAGGGGGGCTAGGTAGGATTTTGAAGTCAGACTAAAGCACTTAATGTAATCTGCAATTATTTTTTTTTAAAGTTGTGCAATGTGAATAGGAACACACAACAAATAGAAATGTAGGTGTCTTAATTTGGCTGCAAAAGTGGAAATACACTTTAAGACAATTGTTAAAGAAAAGTTTTGTAAGTGTTAATTTGTATTTTCTTTTTTTTTTTTTCCTCCATAGGCCAGAGGGAACACCATTTGAAGACGGTGAGTAATGACTAGGGTTGCATTGTATAGACCAGTTTTGATGTGAGGCTTGCTTGAGCATGTTCTTGCCACCTTATGCTTTTAATAGTTACATGCAGCTACGTTTACACTTTGAACTTATCAATTTTCTTATCAAATTGTAAAGAACTTGATTTTTATGCATTGTACAATTAGTTACGCTGTACATTTGGGGGAAAAATAAATTGCAATCTTATATACCCTTTTTTTTTCCCCACAAAACAAATGTATTTTTAACCTTGCGGGTTTAGTACTTTGAAAGTGCCAGCAGATGTTAGGTGGTCTCCTCCAACATGGGCATTTTGATTCAGATTGGGTGACCATCACATGTGCCTTCCATTTAAGATGGACATCCCTACCCAATGTTGATGTGGGTTGTTGAGGCAAGTGGCCATGTTACATAATCATTGTTTCCCTTAGGCTGGCCATAGAAGACTTGATAAAAGCAAGCAGTGTTTTACACATTGATCCTTAGCCCTCGTTCACACCTGAACGTTTTGTAGCGCGTTCTACGCTCGACGAACGCTCTACAAAACGCTCAAAAATATAAATCCCATTGTATTCAATGGTCTCGTTCCCACCTTGGCGTATTTCCGGACGTCCCTAACGCGCTTCAAAACGGCCCACGCCTGAAAAGGTACATGTACTACTTTGGGCCGTTTTGTTGCGCGTTTCCATTGGGATACAGCCAAGTAGCCTTCGGAAACGCGCAACTTTTTTACCGTGAATCGCGGTAAAATAATAAACGCGTGACGGTCGCGCGACAGACGCGCATATGCAATACGCCTAGGTGTGAACGAGACCTAATATATCCTAGTTTCTGAGGTGGTGGAGAGTGACGTGTTCCTTAGGAGGTTGGAGACATTTTGTCTTCTGATCATTCTCTTTGAAGGAGAATGAAGTATCACCAGAATGGCTCCAGTTGCTCATTCAGCAAGGATTACTAGTGATCCTCCCACTGATTGTGCTTCAGGAGGTGTCTGTGGTCAGAGCCAAGGTCTAGGTCATTTAGATATGTGGCCTTTTACCCAAGCTGGACCTCCTGTATTGTATGATCAGTGTACCAGCCTTCTATAAAAGCCCTTTGTTTCACTAGGTGTGAATTCTATGACCACACAAAGCGAAGTGATATGTGTCATTGGGAGTGTTTTATAGAGACTGGCAGCATTTTTCTGAATCCTGGGGTCTCAGAGCTTCATGTGATGTAGCATGGCTGTTTATTGCCACTTCATAATTATTTCAGCCAACACTTGATTTATGATAAGCATTGAAAATTGCAATCGATATGTTTCCACTTTCCTGATTAGTTTGTGTTCTTTCCAGTGAGCTAATTTTTCCTTTTGTATTGCCATAGTAACCTTCGATTGTATTACTCACTTGGGAGGTCTGCGTATTGACTTCTAACCATGGCTTACTTTCTTCCTTCAGTTTAAAGCTGTCGTGGATAATAAATCGTACCTTGTAAAGTGCTATTTAAGAATAGAGGTCCCTAAGAACAATGTCTTTTTATCCTACATTTGTCAGATCTAAGCAGAATCTAAAGTGTGTTTTGTGCTAATAAGCTCTCTGATGTTATAATAATAAAGAGAAAGCGTCTTCTCAGTAAATGCACATTGATTTATTATTGTGGGGGCCCCTTATTGTGACTGTGTGCCATGTCCATGCAGAGCAAAGCCACAGATGATTGACTTTAATGCAGACCTTCACAGAGACAAACACTTGTCTCCGATTCGGTTCTCTGGTACTTGATTAGTTCATGCTCTGAGACCTTTTCTTTTTCCCACGGTCAGCTGTTCGTTTCACCTCCATGTCCTGCCATGATCAGCTTTCACTCGCCATCCTTCAGGATTGTTTTCCTGCATTTGACATGCGATGGGGACACATGTCAAAAGCAAGTCAGCAGTACACGTGGCAACACAGAGACTACATGTCATCTGCTTTGCATTTAGCTGTGTTTTTATTTGGACTCGGTATGTCCTATGAAGGTGCATTTAAATTCCAGGCAAAGCAGGTCCAATGCAGCCTTTTCTTGTCAATCACTGCGTTTTTCTTTCTGAACGCAGCTGCATATGTTTGAATGGAGAATAAAGTATGTGACTAGAACACCCATCACTGTGAATCCTTATTCACCCTGGTTCACAACCAGAGCTACTTACACCACAAACCCCATCAGTATGGGTCCGTATTAGGCTGCCAGTGAGCCTCCAGTTTCTTTTCTCAAAGACCATGATCAGCTCCCACTCTAACTCCTCTCCCGGTGATCTAGGATCTGTTCCAATGTATCACTCAACAAAATTATTCAGCCAAAAATAAACTGAATGGACACACTTGTTAGTATTTCTCTGATGTACTTTGTACGCTTAGAATGGAGCTCTACTCTAAGCCGATCTTCAGTTTTTAGAGTCTGTGCTGGTCGTCTTGAAAGATTCTCCTTTCTCAGTAATGTCCTGTTACAGGTCATGCTGCCTCAGCCATGTTGGAAATCTTTAAACTTGGCATTAGCAGATAAATGTGCCGTGGGCTGTGTGCCGAGTATAAAACGCAGTACCCATACCCACTACTAAGACGCAATCTGACACGTGTAGCCAGAGTGTGCGCTGTATTGTTTGTTCAAGAAATGTGAATTAGTTCAAATGTATCTGAAGCTTGAATGTTTGATTTTTGGATACAGTAGGGGGTGTTAAATTCATAAAGACACAACAGGAGGTGAGAGAAAATCTCTCCAAGTTGAGAAAGAAGTTGGAAATCTTCTTCTGGGAAATCCATGTTTTCTATTTGTTTATGAAAATTTTCTAAGTATAGTTATAACGTTTACAGACGCTGGACAAAAGGTTTGTTCAACTATCATTAGTCCTGCGTTCAGTGATTTACCCCTGGCAAAGTGATTCTTGGCTCCTAAAGTAGTCTGTATTATTTGTTCAACCCTGAATCATCCTTCAGGAGTCGTCTGCACCTTTTAATTAGTTTTGTGCTGAAAACCAAAGGCAATAAACGTTTTCCAGATTGTCCTTGTGGAGAGCAGTGTGACTGGGTCGCTGGTTTACCATGTATGTACATTTGATGCGTGATTACATAAGAGACACACAGAACAAAGTGCTTGCATTTGATACTTTGCTCTTTGCTCAGTTTTGTTAAATGGAGTCATTATCTTCACATATAAGCTTGTGCTGGTTTACCTGCTTATAGCTTGGCGTTGGCTCTGAAATGACTGTATGGCAGCTACTTTTATGACGTATTTCATGTTTCTTTCCTTTTCTTTCTTAGGAACATTTAAACTAACAATAGAATTCACAGAAGAATATCCAAATAAACCACCTACAGTTCGATTTGTATCTAAAATGTTTCACCCTAATGGTAAGTATAGGTGTATTATTCAACTGTGCAGTTGTTGCGTGACTATAGCTTTCAAGGAGAAGTATGAGGCGAGTGATTTGCACTCATCCTCATAGTTCAAGCCGACCTGTGACAAAGAAACTGTCGCACGTCGGTTCTATAGATCGGGAAGTGAGCAAACACATACCGTCGCTCGCTCACTTTCCGATCATCTCCATGCAGAGAGAGGTGACTGTCAGTCACCGCTCCCCTCAGGTATATCCCTCTCTCTCTCTGATCCTCCAGCACTAACGGGAGTGGCTGGGCTCAACTGGCTCTGCCTTTAGATAGGCAGAGCCAGCTGTCGCACACGCAGCTGAGTGGATCTCAACAATATTGTCGGGATCTGTCCCGACTGTGGTGCTCTCAGTATATCGCGGGCAGTGGTTCGCTATACTGAGCTTTGGGTCATGGGAGGAGGTTAGTATATTTTCTCCCGTGAGCCTAAAGAGAACTGTGGGGAAAACACCCCATAGTTCTTTTAAATATTCCAGCTCTCAAGATCAGATGGTTTGAGGATGAGACACAGATTGTGTTTCTGACATCTTGATATTGTACATTATCTTGCTTGCGGTACTCTCCCATAAACGCCCAAAACTGATCTGTGTAAGTCTGATGGAAGAAAACGCAGTTGGTCTGGGCCCGTGTCACACTATCCCCTTATTTCTAATGATTATGTTGCTGTATATCTCGCACTGCGCAAAAACTTTATTACGACGTGTCTGAATGCGGAAGTTCCTCTAAGAATACAACATGCGTTACCAGAATCTGTTTAGTTTCATTTTTATGTAGAGTAGGCTCCATTTTATAAATGATTTTATAGAACTATACTGTATATACATGTTCTTCATTTCACAATTGGTATTATGTATAGTTTAAAACTAAGCGAAGGAAGGAAAAATATTCATTCTCCATTTGTAATTAGTTGTCAGAATAGTTGCAGAATCCCCCCTGCATTTGATGTGTGTTATATGCACCCTTTTTCTATGCGGTGCGTTTCAAATCTTTAGAAATCTGTTGCCATGTGTTTCTGTAAGTAAAATTCAGCCCATTAGGGATGCACCAATACCAGTATTTTGTTATCTAGTACTGCTATTTTTTTTCCGGTACTCCATGTCTCCATGATCTCTCGTCAATTGTGACGAGAGAGCATGCAGCCGGCCAACCATGAAGCCGGGCAGTGTGCAATGAGACGCTGCCCTGCTTCCTTATTCCGGAAGTATCGGGCTAGGCATCGGAGCATTTGGGCAAGTACTTGCCCAAATACTCAGCACCAATACTAGTATTGGTGCATCCTTAGTGCCCATAAAGCAAAACCCTTCTGAAGGCCGTTGCTGTGTGAATGAAAGCCACAGTGTAATATTTTGTCACTAACCCTTTCTTTTCCTGTGTTTTAGTGTACGCTGATGGCAGTATATGTTTGGACATTCTTCAGAATCGTTGGAGTCCAACTTATGACGTGTCTTCAATTTTAACCTCTATACAGGTAGGACGAGTCAGGCTTAGTTGTGTTGATGACCCTGCCATGTGCTTTTTAGTGTATGCAGCTTCAACTCTTTCTCTTCTACTTCCAGTCCCTGCTGGATGAACCAAATCCAAACAGTCCGGCAAATAGCCAGGCAGCACAGCTGTACCAGGAAAACAAGCGAGAATATGAGAAAAGAGTTTCTGCAATAGTGGAACAAAGCTGGCGTGACTGTTGACCCTTGCCCTTGTATATGAACACTCTGACCATGAGGAAAATATATATATGAAGTGTTTGGGTGATCTTCCTCTTGCTAGAACCTTTACATTTACATCGACTGCAAATGGCTGTTGTGCTGTCGCCACCTTCCTTGGCCCCCAGCTGATGCTTGCCCCCCACCTTTTGGACACCTGAAAGCATTTGTGTTGAAATCAAATGTACCATACGTGGGTTACTTGCAAAACCTTTTCCTTTACTTCCTTCTGTGGTCCACAATTGTTCACTGTTGTAGGTTGTGAGAAAATCATCCGCAGTCTATCTGAAGAGCAATGGATAGACAGATTGTATTCATCCCAAGATACAAGGACATCAAGTCAGCAGTGCTGGTGATTGGCAGAGAAAATGATTATTATTTTTTAGGTTTTATTTTGATTCGTTTTACAGGGTGTTTTTTGCAGGTTAGATTGATAGAAAATGAAAGTTGTTCAGAGTTGAAGTGGAATTCCCCTTCTAGTCATAGATAGCATGGGAAAGGGTAAACCTCTCCAATTCTATTGCGGTCTTAGACCGCAATATTCCCTCGCTTCCAATCCCAATCATGGTTGTTGCTGGTAGAGAGAGGTGAAGTCCAATCATTTTAGTGTTGTCACTAGAACAGGAGCTGTGGGGAAATGTTATATTGGGGATACTTCCTCCTGTCACAAGTTGGTCTGCCCTCTTACTGTAGAGAATTCCTCTTGATTCTAGTCTTGTCTCGGGGATATGAAGTGAGTGTGGAACTTCCCAATGGTGACACATACTACAATAAATACCTGAGAGGTTCTTAGCTCCACCCACCCTTTTCAGAAAAACTTACCTGATGTTCAACATTTCTTCCTCCTTAAGAAAGTGGAAAAGTTGTAACACCACAAAGGTGGTGTATTCATCAGACTGAAATCAATCTGATGGTCAGAAAGATGGTCCTGCTCGAGTTTGCTATAGTATGTTGATGGCCAGAAAGAATTCTATCTTTTTAATGTACTGTGCTGAAGCTTTCACCTTTTATAATGGGACACATTTTATTTCAGCCAATCATTGGACTAATCTAAAAAAAAAAAGCTAAATGGCTTCACTATAAATGTAACTGACTGATCTCTGTAGAAACATAATATCTGAATTCTGTGCTTGCTTTTTTTTCCCTTTTAAGTTCCACTTGGTTACATCTACATAGCTAATACTGACCCTGCTTCATTTTGTACAAGTAACCCATGTAAGACTGTACATCATATACACTTGTAAATAAAAAAGAAAATAACCTATCTGTGTCTATGGAACATGATGACTGAGGAATGATGGGCAGTGAGGGCACCATGCTGCCAGTGAGCGCCACCTTTCCCAAGCACTGCAACTGTGTATGAGGAGATTTACAATAGGGGTTAGGAATCTCCTATATGTCAGCTAAGAGCAGGAGGGAAGAACATAATTTTGAGGCATTGCCAAGTCAAAATGATCCAATCCAGTGGTATGGTTCAGTGAAACATAATTTGGAACAGTGCTTGCGAAGTAAGTAAAAGCTTGTTTTCAGTGCGCATTGCGACACATGCTTTTTCATTGAGCCCAGAGGAAAAATGCACCAGGCAAAAATAAGCGTGTGCGTGTTTCCAGCATTATGTACAATTCAAGACAGCGAGGGAACTTTGGAAGGTTGTCATTGCTGTCTTCAGAGAAGAACCAATGACCAGGACAGGAAGCAAGATAAAATTGTGCCAGTGGGGACAAAATCCTAAAACCCTTCCCAAGCTAAAAGAAAATGCTGTGGTGGGGCTCTGCAGTGTTGCTGTAAAGTGTTCACAGGTAAGTCGGCTTGTGTGCATGTTTTCAGTCAGTTACAACATCTGGTGACCTTATCTCAGACTGAGCAAGACAGGGCAGCTGTAAACATTGTACTTTACAGTAGAATTTCTGCAGCTGCACTTTGCCTACACCGGATTCCATGATGACTTCAGTGTAATCCAAAGCCGGAGTGGGTGGTATTTGCCTCGGACTCTAATGCTCTGGGAGGCAAGAAGAGCGTGCCTTGGCTCTGTCACATTTCAGGAATGCTCTGCTGCAAAGGTACTTTTTAATACACAATGCTTTGTCCAGATTTTCAGCATAGTTTTGCAGTTGACTTATTGTAACCTGAAAATGCAGAATACATAATTGAATCAGTGACGTTAGACCGATATGCAAACTAATTGATGCTGTTTGATCTACTTAAAGGAGAACTATGAGGCGAGTGAAAAATCACTCATCCTTATAGTTCGAGCTGACGTGTGATAATGAAACTGTGACACGTCGGCTCAATAGATCAGGAAGTGATCGAACGCATACTGTCGCTCGCTCACTTTCCGATCATCTCCTGGCAGAGAGCTGTGACTGTCGGTCACCAGTCCCACAGGATACCCCCCCTCCCTGCTCCAAACCTCCAGCACTGAGTGGAGGAACGGATGGGGGAGGGGGCCCGTACAGCTGGCTCGGCCTCTAGATAGGCAGAGCCAGCTATCACGCAGCTGGGTGGATCTCAACAGCATTGTTGGGATCTGTCCCGGCTGCAGCACTCTCAGTATACCGCGAGCTGTAGCTCATGATATACTGAACTTTGAGTCATGGGAGGAGGTTAGTATATGTCCTCCTGTGACCCTTAAGAGAGCTATGGGGAAAACCACTTACCCCATGATTCTCTTTTAAGGATGACTAACATTATTGTGATGCTGTATAGGCTGGCTAACAAAACTAGATGGATGGAGGAAAAAAACTGATGGGCCATCAGTTTCAGTGACTACCTGATTCTCTCCCCGATAGGATTATCTTTGAAGAGTCAGTCTTCTACCTTTACTTCACAATTAAGAGTCAGTTTTGGCTCTTAAGGGGTTCACCACACTGCAACTGGAGGATCAGCTGTGTCTATAAGGATTGTAACAGATCCTGACATGCCCTTGCCTCCTTCCAAGGTTTACCAGACTTGTCTATGTTTGGAATTATGTCAAATGGTAATCTACCCCCACGTTGATTGTCAGTGGCTCACCTTCACAGTAAAACCACTGGGGAAGCGGAGAGCATTCAAGGATCCTACTGATAAGTGGATACAAACCCTCTCTAACTCAGTTCTCACTCCTGGGCCATGCCCTTTGCGGGTCATGACTTTTAATTTTGTCAAAGAATGCTCAGAATTCCTTAAGAGATCCCTCCAGTGCAGCAGTGGCTCCTTCACTAATGGGGTGTGCCAACCAGATGGCTGAAGCTTTAGACCCTTTTCACACCAGGGGGACAGTGGTTCAGCGAGCTTTACGTGCATGTTTTTGTTTCAGAGGTGTTGTCTGTTCATATGTAATAGATTTTTAAGGTGTGCTTTCAGTTGTCCAATGAAATGCGGTCTCAGCTGAAAAAACATGCTAAAAACGCTGATCTTTGTGTTTCCATTGAAGTCTATGGAGCTGAACGAACTAATAAGTGCCACAAAAGAAGCTCGGACTATTTCACACAGGTGTATTCTTACGCACGTTTGCGTGAAGGGCCCCCATAGGAATACATGGGATTTTAATTTGCATGCGTTTCAGTGTGGCAAAACACCCCGGTGTGAATGGGGCCTTATGCTTCAGCTGCGATGACCTACTGGGAGCATTGCCTTCTCAATAACTATGCGCAAAGTACTCTAAGTGGTGAGCTGTAGACCTTGTGTCCAATGAGCCCCTGGTCTTCAAGGGACAATGTCTCTTCGGGCCGACCCTAGATATTATCAAGGATGCCACTGGAGGCAAGAGCACCCAGCTGCCTCAGTGTCAGAAGCCTAATGTAAGGTCTGGCCTCCCTAAAACTACCGGGTACAAAGCCTGCTGAACTCTCAGAAAAGTCTTGAACAGCATGAAGGTGAACCCCCATGTTTCATAGTGAGGGGAGTCTTTGGTCATCTTTTTGAACTCTTGGATAGTATGCGTTCCAGGCACAGATGGTGGTATTCTGGGGATACAAACAAACTTCATCTTCAGGTCTGTCTTTGGTCTCCTAGACTGAGGATGTCCTTGCCCTAGCTCCTGCGTCAGATCAGTTTGAGGAGCTGTACTCCAACTAGTCCACTCTTCTCTTTCCCAAAGAGGGCATCTACCTCTTTTGGGGTCTGTAAGTCCAAACATTTCAAATGGTATCCACCAGATCTTCCCTTCCCCAAAGAAACCAACTTCTCTGGTCAGTTAGAAAGTGTACCTACAGCCTTCCAGTGCTCTTGCATGTTATTCTCACTCCTGCACCAGTGTTCTCCAGGCCACAGTGAATTCTCAAGGCATCCCAATTGTGAGATACTTTAGTGTAATCCAGGTACTGTAGGACAACAGCTCTTTGTCCATTTGTCTCACTGATTCAATTGGCCCAGTGCAGAGGCCCTGATTATCAGCGAATTCACAACTACTGGAGTTTCAGGAGCTGTGGTTTAGATTTACATTAGTGGATCCTCCCCTTGGCAGGTCCCCTAATCTGGATCCAGTTAGACAACACCACTGCACTAGTGTGCCTCAACCATCAAGAATGAACAGGAGTTCTTGCTGCAACAACAGAGGTAGTTTGGACTCTAAATGTGCCCATACACCTGCCGATTATCGCAGGATAATCGGCAGGTGTATGGAAGGCGTGTGACTGTTTTTCCTGTACGGTCGCACGTCTTTTGTCTTACGAGCATGTTTGAAAATCGTAAGATTTTTGGCGGGTTTGTGGCGTGCTCATAAGACAAATGCCGCACGGGCCGGTGCCCGCTCAGCATTGCAGTCATCAGAAGCCCTCCCCTCAGCGGGCTTGCGATGATCGCAAGTATGATCTGCCTGTCCAAGATGGGCAGATCGTACGAGGTTTTAATTACCTTACAACCATCACAAGATGAAAGTCTTGCGATGGTTGTAAAGTGTATGGCCAGCTTAACCTGGGAAAAATAATGTTCTAGTCCTGATCACTGCAATCCTCTTAGGTGTGAATATTTGGCTGCTCGGCTTCCCCTAATTCGTTTTATATGGATATGTGGGAGCGATCCACACACCTGCATGTATTAGAGAACCTGCATTGCAGGTGGAGAGCGCTGGATGTGGACCCACTTATAGCTGCATGCTGAACAAGCTTGTTTCCAAGTGCAGGAATCCTCTAGCAGCAGCAATGAATGCCCTGGTGACTCCATGGGATTTATGACCAGATGTAGGCCTTTCCTCATCTGCTTCGCAGAGTCCATATGGAAGGCTTTCCTGTGTGTGCTCTTCATGGTTCTGACCCAGGCCAATGTACTTTGCCACCTTGGAAAGGCTCCTAACCATTGCAATGTAGGCTCTAATGTCTTGTTCACACCTAGTCGTATTGCATATGCGATTCGCGGAAAAAAAGTTGCGCGACCGTCGCGCGTTTCCGAAGGCTTCTTGGCTGTATCCCAATGGAAACGCGCAACAAAACGGCCCAAAGTAGTACCTGTACCTTTTCAGGCGTGGGCCGTTTTGTAGCGCGTTAGGGACGGGTGGAAATACGCCAAGGTGGGAACGAGACCATTGAATACAATGGGATTTATATTTTTGAGCGTTTGTCGAGCGTAGAACGCGCTACAAAACGTTCAGGTGTGAACGAGGGCTTACAGTTGGATTTGGGGAGTAAGGAGCATCTCTGAATCTGAGAGGAGCTTCTCTTCCCTGTTTAGCCATGGTTCAGGCTGTGAGTCTCCATCTCTGACTCCTTTTTGGTCATTTAGTTCCTCATTCGACCATTCTGGATGCTTGAGGTAGAGGAGGGTCCAAGCTTATGCTTTTAAGGATTGGCTTTTTCTTTTTCACTGTCAATACATTCTTCACAGGCTCTGTGAGCCTTTCTTTATCTCTTGGCATTATTTTCCCATTGCTAGGCTACCTTGTCTTTTTATTCTTATGGGTTTGTTTTTTTTCTACTAGGTGGAGGTTGCGACCTTACCTGATGCCACCTACCTGCCGCCTTTGAGCTGTAGGCAATCCCCAGTTTTTCTATTCATGTTTAGCAATTGTTTGTGTGTTGCATATGCCTTAGGTGGACTGTTTGTGTATGTGCAGAATGGGAAAGACTTCTTCCTTCAATGGACACAGGAAACAAAATAAATGGATTTTTGTACTCACTGAAAATATTTTTCTTGCACTGCGGGACACATACTCATGCCTACAGGACCTAAGACTTCCTGTGACTTTAATGGACTCCAACAAAAGGATTATATGAGGAGTATAAAAATCCTATCACAGAAATGTAAAGTTGCCCATACACTGTAAGATTCTGGTACGAGAATCGCAAAGTGTATGGAAGGCGTGCGACTGTTTCTACTGTATGGTTGCACGTCTTCCGTCGAACAAGCAGGCTGGAAATCCGTGTTAGTGGCCTGCTTATTCGCACACTGCCGTTTGCAGTCATCGCAAGCCCGCCCCTCATTGCAGTCATCGGAAGCCCGCCCCTGTGGGGGGGGGGGGGGGGGCGGGCTTGCGATGATCGCAAGTGCGATCTGCCTGTCCAAGATGGGCAGATTGTACTTTTTTTTATTACTTTACAAACCTCGCAAGACAAAAGTCTTGTGAGGGTTGTAAAGTGTATGGCCACCTTAACACTTTACAGAGATCTAAAACCACAAATATTCTTAATTAACATTGTGTCATGCACACCTTACCTTTAGGTGAGCTATCACTCCTTTTCCAAGTAAGGAATCGCTCACCTACAGTTGCTGGCTATGTGATGGCTTACAAAAACATGATCACTGTCATAAATCATACTGTGATATTTTCTTCATTTCTTGAAATAATTGCCTTTTGTAAAACAGATTTTAGTGATGAGCTTTTTCTATGCGTGTAACACAATACAGTCACAAACAAAAGTTGCCATGTAGTTTAATCCTTTTTCAGTGTAGAAGGCTATACAGCACGTTCTAGTGTGAATAGAAAAAGGTTACAATGTCATTTGGGGAGAGGCATAAACCATGATAAGCCAGCACTACAGGCAACAACAAATTCTTCACCTCTAAAAGAGCGACATAAGGGTCTTCTAAAATCATTCCACTTCTTATTTCAAATTATTCAACCTGAAAGGAGAGATTGCAGCAGATGCACACATGATTGGCCTGTACAGTAGGCAAATGCAGAACACAGAGGTACAATGGTGTCTATCAGCCTTTATTGGCAGAGGTTAATAAAAAAAAATATATCAGAAAAGTGGCACCACTACAGCTAAAAGAGGCACATTAGAAACAGGTAAGACTTTTTTTTTTCTTGACTTGCACCACTGCAGAAATGCCAGCTTTAGCATCTGCAGCCGGCACCAGATACTCTCCCAAATATACACCTGAGCCATAAAAGAGCCGGGGCTCTGATGTGCTGTACATTCTTCACTATGAAATGACATATGTCACATACCCACGAGGGAGAGGGCCACAACCCAGTCACCAAGAGCTAAGCACTAGACATGTGCGATTCGTTTCGTTCCGAATCGAAATTCGGATGTATCCGAATTACGAATTACAGACATAACGAATGCAAACGAATCCAAATTTCCATTTCCGAAATTCGGTAGCGGTAGTTCGAACGTTTGTTTCGTTTTCTGTTCTTATTCGTTTCTTATTCGTTTCGTTCGTTGGAGCAAAGTGACATTAGAGAAGGAGAAAAATATTTTTTCCCCCTCAAATGTCACTTTGCTGCAAACGAACAAGAAACGAACGTTCGAACTACCGCTACCGAATTTCGTCTCCGAATTGACTTTCACACCCGAATCCCGAAAAACGAAATAACACAAATCCGAATTTAAAACTAAACTAAACAAATTTTTTGGCAGTGCACATATCTACTAAGCACTGTGCAGCCGATCCAGTCCTAAGCTGTCATGTCTGCTGCTGGTAGCATTGTCTAATGGCCAGAGCAAAGATTATCCTATAAGGCAAGAAAACAAAAGAGAAGGGCGCCCACCCTAGTGTAGAGAGTTTTTAATGATATGCATTTAAGTACAGAGTAAAATCATACTCACAAAAGGTGAAATGAAATAAAAGCATAGTAGGCAAGCCAGGATGGCATCTAAAAACGGCTGCCCAGACGTCTGTGTACCAGCACAGGACTCCTTTATCGAGTATGTGAGTATTTGTGAGTATGATTTTACTCTGTACTTCAATGCATATCATTAAAAATTATCTGCACTAGGGTGGGCACCCTTCTCTTTTGTTTTCTCCCATAGTGCTGCAGCTTCCCAGGCTGAAGTGGGGGCAGCACCCCTAGTAATCCTCGCTTGCTTATACCTATTATTTGTTGGTCAACCTTTGGCGCTTCTGATTCGTTTTCACTATCCTATAAGGCAAACCTATGGTAATAGAAATAAGAGGCTGACATCTTAAACCACAAAAAAGGTACAGTGTGTAGCACTATTATCATGGCCCAATAAGAATATAATAATAAGAAAGTAAAAATGCAAGTTTTAGACCTCTTTAGCTCATTAAAGCCCAACTGAAGCGGTTTACACCAGCAAAGTGCATGCAGCATTTTTTGCACTAGACCGGAATACAGGCATTGATGTGCCCGCCCCAGAACGCAGAGAGCTAGCCAGGATGCCCTCCAGTAGTGAAACGTGCTGGAACGCACTGCAGCTGGTGTGAACTGGCCTTGAATGTAATGCAGTTAGGCTTCATATACAATAAAATACCCTGTAAGTAAAGATGTTTTTAGTATGGGTTAAAGTACTCTTTGCTAACAGCACACTAGGGAGTCAAACTGCAGCTAAACAGAGCACAGCAGCCCAGGATTTTAATGGACCACCAAACTCCTGACCCAGTCAGATATAGTGACAATGTTCTTGGTCTTCTCAACTTTGTGACCTTAAGTGAAGTCAAAACTTTTGATTTGCATACTTACTCCAGATTACCAATTATTCAAACAGGAGGACAAGCATCGCAACCAGAATTGTTTTGAAAGGTGGTCAGCAATGGCAACCACCATATTTCTCTCAGTACAGGCCTACTTTAAACACTGATGAAATGAGGACTGTTGACCATAACAAAACAATAATGTGCATGGCAATGAAATGAAAGATTTGGAAGCATGTGATTACATACACACACGGTTTACAAATATCCTCCTAAATAAATTAACAAACTGGACTCAACTTAAATCATCTAAATATGTTCTAGGTAAAGCCATAAAGTGTTCTTTAGAAAGCAGCCACAGCCTGTCTCCTGCCAGCATGCTATAGAGAAGGAATATTGCGCTCTTTGTGGTTTTTCTGAAGAGGTTCAACCCACCAGTGGAGTCAGAGCTATAGCTCTCAGATCACCAAGCCACATGCTCCCTGCGGATAGGGGAGCTCTAACTCAGCATGGGGTCTGTTGGGCCTCTGCAGAAAGACCGCTGCTTCCACACAGAGAGCCAAGGTCCTACTCTGCAGAACTCTGACAGGGGACAGACTTTCTTACCTGGGCAGTGGCTGCTTTCCAAACAATAAGACACTGTCAGACTTTGAACATCTTCTATTACACCTTAAATATATTTAGCAGACTTCAACTGAAAGTTCGATAGCGCTTTGAGGTATCAAAGTTTTGTTCCCCCATTTACAAGCCAGTGAAGTTTAGGCTTTAGATACACTTTAAAATCAGGCAGTGAGCTGTAAAACATGGAAGCAAACCATGTAAAAACTCGGTTGTTTTCAAACTATAAAAACAGAACTTTTTCAAGATAAATAACATGAAACAAACAAAAATGAGTCCATTCGGGTTCACAGTTTTAGAAAGAAAAGCCACTTCAACAGGTGTGTAACTACCTCACTATGTTTTTACCTGAAGGTCTGCACTATGCATTTGCTGGTCCCTTCCATCTTCCGAAACCTGAGAAACAGATTTTCCACAGGCTTCTTTGGGTCTTAGGTGGAAGAAAAGAGAATAATGACAGTGAGGAAGAAGATAGAGAATTCAGATTTAGACACCAGGCTCACTCATATTCACAGAATTGGGATTTTTATCAGGGTTACTGGCTGGTTTTCTACAAAGATAAGAAATCTCTTTATATTTTTTTCTATGTAATCAGTAAATTAAAATAAGTAGGAGCCATTTATTCAGTTCTTATAACCAGACAATAGGATACACTGTGCTCTGATGTATACAATACAACCTTAGTTTGAACTCAACAAGGAAGGGAACGTCAATTGTGGGGCATAACAAGCGCATAAGATCCAACCTGCCCTTCTTGTTTCAGCTGATACAGAAGATCTTGTCTGCTTCTTTTCCTACTTACAACCAAGAATCTCTCAGTACCTTGTCCATGAGACTTGCTTTTCAGACCATATTTCTGAGATATCTGATGAATGTATTTTCGTTCCTCATTGGTCAGCTCCCTAGAGAACGTAAGATCGTCCTGATTACAGGAGCCTGCATAGTTTCTTATCATCTGTTCAATGTCTCTTTTGGTGATCTTTTGATTAGTTGTTGCTAGGCCAAGCCCCTCCCGACTAAACTGCTCTTTAACAGAAATAGGCTCAGCTATTCCTTCCCCTCCTTTGCCCAAACCCCCACCAGTCCATCCCATCTTTCGTAGCAGCTGGTTTCCAATATTGTCCTCTTTGATGTGCTGTTTATACGCCTCGTCGTTGGACAGCCCTCTTATCCGATTTCGAGAAATGGCATCTTCAACGGGACCTTTTTTCAGATTGTTAACCACCACGGGCTGGGTTCTCTTTAATACGTTCACAGCCGCCTCTGCAGCATCATGTTTTACAGTTTTCTTAATACCAACAGCTTCCGCTACAAACTGTTGTTGTATGAGAACCTTACACTTCCAGTTCAGTCCCGGTGCCCTCTCAAAGACATATTCTATATTAACCTTGTTAAACTGAGCAGTGTCATTTAATGTACATACAGGATTTGAGGCATTCTCATACACCACAATGTCTTTCAGTTCTCTTGTAACACTGACGCCTTGGTTTGTTGCACTGATGGTCCTTTGCGAGTTAGGATGCATCGCCTTTAGCACTTTTACTGCTGACTCAGCTGCTGCATGTTTGCTGTTCTTTTTATTCCCATATCCATCGGCTATAAAATGATCTTGCACATACACACAGCAACGCCACATATTGTTGGGCATCGTCTCATACTTGTAGTCGACTGTCATTTTGTTAAAAGTCGCCGAATTGTTCAGAATGCCTATTGCATCGCAAGCATTTTCAGTAAGGATAAACTGGGACCATGGTCTAGATGAAGTCCCTTTAGAAGCCTCGGAAAACTGCTGGCTTGACGGACCGCTGTCATTTACAGAATTATCGTCTTGCTTTAGGGCTGGAGGGAAGTCATTCATGCAAGTGTCACTTGAGCAAGCCACCACGTCATCGCGGTACCCACGTCCACACTTTCGTTGCACAGTGGCAACATCCACCATAGGCTTTTGTAAAAGCTGTATGGCCAATTCAGCAGCCCGATCTCTGGCCCCAATTTTGCTCCATGAATATCCAGTAGCTAAGTACACATCTTGGCACCTGACCTCGCAAGCATAGCCATCAGGGGGGACTTTCTTATGTTTTGGGACGCTGCCAGGAGGAAGATCTTTAATAGGCACATAAATATATTCTGGATTGGTTTTACATGCCTGAATGCTCTGCGTTAATGCATGGGTGAAGTTAATGTGTTTGCTATCTGAAGCCATTTTAGGATTTACCAACTTCTGCTTCACAATTGCGGAAAGTTGCCCAATAAAGCCGGATTTATCTAAAGAATGTACTGCACGGGCCATGAAATAGTTTGCACCACTTCGCTTTTCGTTTCCAGTCCTGCCAGTCTTTTTTAGTGGTTTTACAAAACCAATGCCTTTTCTCCCTTGCTGGCTTACAGTCTTCCAGCTATTAAGAACATTCGATCGAAAATCTTTGCCCAAAGATGAATGGTGGGATTCAAATTTTGCAGAGTAGTCTTGTTCCAGTTTGGTCATATAATTGCCAGATTCATTCTTATTCTGTTCGTTTGTGTCATTTGAGTCATATATATAGGGATGACCACCCAACTCTACTTCAGTGTTCTCTTCTGCATCTGAATGGTCACTGGCAGTGACGCACACAGCGAATGACTGGGACTCGACATCTGAGGGATGAATGTCGTCCCGCTGTTTCTGTCTGTCCAAGTTTTCATTTGTTTCCCGTGTTTTTTGGAAAACTTTGTCCTCCTCCACTGTGCTGACTACAAAATGCACTGGTTCAAAACGTGGCCGCGGTCCAAACTTTTTCTTTGACGGTTGTACATCTGAAAGCAAGTATAAAACAAAAGCATTAAAAACACAAATACGTAGAAACAAATTGTTTATGTACAAGAAACACTGACGACCATGATGAAACTAACAGACAAATCAATGTGGCTGTTAGTCTTATCCTAGATGCACAGAATATTACTGGATATTGAGTTCTTATAGGTATATTAAGCATCCGAGATTGTTATTCCAGGGAATATCGGATTGCCTTATGGGATCAGGAAGGAATTTTGTTCCCCTGTAGGAGCAAATTGAACCATGCTTTTTAGGGGTTTTTCTGCCTTCCTCTGGATGAACAGTGGGTAATTGTGGGCGTAGCGTTCTGTTTAGGCTTTTTTTTTTCCATATCTCTATAGGTTGAACTCGATGGACATGTCTTTTTTTCAACCTAACTAACTATGTAACTATGGTGTGTTTAAAAACCGTTTCCTATATACAGATATCGATGACTTTGGTCACTTACTGATGAATAATGCTTTCATGTATATCAGGGGTAGGCAAATTCCAGCCCTCCATCTGTGGTGCAACTACAGATCCCATTAGGCATTGCAAGACCGACAGACACAGGCATGACTCCCAGAAGTGGATGCATGACAGGATTTGTAGAGGGCCGCAGTTTACCAACCCCTGATGTAGATCATGTAACTCAGGGCTGGACAAATACCAGGAGCCAGGTAGACAATGATCCTCAAACATTAATGCTGCTGCCTAATTTTTGAGGTTTTCTCTAGTTCCTGTCAATAGAGCAGACTTTTAAAAATCCTGCAGGCTTCTGAATTTCACAAATATTTGTCCACCCCTCCGATGTAACTTTAAACAAAACTATCCCCTATCCTTTACAAACCTTCCATATCTTTCCCAAGAATTCCTCACAATTGAGATTACACAGAAACATGAGAATTCAGTACTCATTATACTGTAAATGTGCAGGACTGACATTTCCGACTTATCTTTGCTCACTTTAGCTGGAGTGCCAGGGGGTCAGAGGTCAACTGCCCGTCCTCACTCACTGCACATTCACAGAATGGAAGACAATGTGTGAAGTCACCATCAACCTTCAGGTGACCTCTGACCCTTTTGTCACCTGCTGGATTTCCCCATATTTGTATCCTGATAAGTTAAAGGTAAAGGTCATTACACATGAAAGCAAGAAAACTAACTTTATGTTGTACTACGGTAGTTGTCTTTAGCAATCAGCTCTCAAACATTGCATATACCTTACAAGCTGAAAAAATAAATGAATACCCATCAACTCCACTCTGAGGCCTCTCCATTTCTATCAGCACATCTGCACTGGTCATAGCAGGACTCAAGACATTTTTGAAAAAAACAGGCATATTCTTGAATGTATATAAAGAACAATCCACTTTCCAACCCATGCCAAAATTCCCAGGTCTCCTCCATTAATCTTGGCTTACGCAATGTCCAGGTTTGACAGTACATCAAGAGTCCAAAGTAACCATAAAGACCTCCGAGAAAATGCTGTAAAGTATGGCCATCTTACAACAAAAGGTATTTACAAGTCCTCAATCCCAATATTAATCCAAAAGACACAATTATTCTTCATTTAAACCAACCAAGGGTATGTCTGTGTGTATCACTGCATCCAAAACTACTGCTGCCTAAAATATAGAAACGATGATTAAACTTACAGGCAGTTGTTTCAGACTTGTTAGTCCTTGTCATTGCTAGAAAGCAAGACTTCTAGGTAAAGGAGATCTATAGGGAGAGTGAAATACACTCATCCCCATATAGCCGACGTGTGACACTGAAGCTGCCACACGTCGGCTCTAATGATTGAGAAGTGAGCGATCACAAACCAGCGATCACTCAGGTCACGTCTGTGAGTGCAGACAGCGGTTATACCGTGATTCACCATTCCCCGCAGGGATTCCTCCCTCTCCGTCCCTCCAGCACTGGCTGAAAGGGACAGACAAGGGAGGGGGCGGGCATAACTGGCTCTGGCTCTAGGGAGGCAGAGCCAGCTGTCAATCAGGAAGCGGGATGGATCCCGACAATATTGTCGGGATCCATCCAGGCTGCTGTGCAACTATGCGCTGTCAGCATATAGCTGGCTATATGCTGAGTTTTGGGTCACAGGAGGACATAATTAAATGTCCTCCTATAACTCTAAATAGAACTACGGCCAAAAAAAGATTGGCCATTGTTCTCTTTTTAATGTGAACCTGCCAGATGTATATTAGGATTGCAGGCGTAGATTAAGCTTACAGAGAAAAGCCATGCATGCCATATGGCTGAGAAGAGGACTGGACCACCTCCTGGTTTGCATAGCATATGGCTACTGGACCACGTCATCTGCTGATCTAAGGTAAGGACAAGGGGGTCAAATTGGCATGGAGGTGAGTTAGAATGATATAGTTATATGAATGTCTAGTTAAAGGAGAACTATGAGGTCAGTGCTTTTCACTCATCCTCATAGTTCTAGCCGACCTCTGACAATGAGACTGTCACAGGTCGGCTCAGTAGATCGGGAGGTGAGCGAACACATACCGGCGCTCGCTCACTTCTCGATCCCGTGATATGGGAGGGACTGGATTCCCCCCTCCCCTGTCCGATCCTCCAGCGCTGACTGGCGGAACGGACGGGTACAGCTAACTCTGCTTCTAGATAGGCAGAGCCAGCTGTCACTCACGCAGCTGGGTGGATCAAGACAGAATTGTCGGGATCCGTTCTGGCTGCGGAGTCTCAGTATACCGTGAGCTGTAGCTCGCGGTATACTAAGCCTAGGGTGACGGGAGGACGCTAGTTTGTGTCCTCCCGTTACCCTAAGGAGAACTATGGGGAAAAGCCCTAGCCCCATAGTTCTCCTTTAAAGTGCATGTAAACCCCAGCAATAAACTTCTACTTTACAATCTGTTAAATATAGCATTGAAAGTGTTGTGTTATATCTGTTTCTGTTTTGGAACTACAGAATGATGAGCCTTTATGTTGTGGAGATAGGAGAGTAGGTGGTTCTGAGTAGTTTGGCAAAAGAAAACTAGGAAGGCTGACAAAATGCTGTGTTGTCAGCCCACAAGACTTGGGAGCGCAGTTCATTACTGGCACATCAACCAATATGTTTCTGTCCTTTCTGGGTCTTTAGAAGGAGGAAACATGGGGAAATGTGTATATCACCGGATAGTTTTTTATTTTGCATTGTCATACTCTTTAACGTCTAAGGGGATGCATAGGTTACAAATGAGAATGGGAAAGATTTAATCATTGTGAATATCCTAGCTGGATCTTATGATGCCTACCCATTGTTCTCTAGGAAGTATGGGTCTGTCTATGGTAAGTCCAGGGTGACCGGTCATAATACAACAAGACAAGTACCTATAGAATCTTGTGCATCTTCTAAGCGGTGGCGATCAAGCCAACTTACCGCCTTCTGATGAACTGGGTCGTTTTGCAGCTTTGGCACCAGGAACAAGCTCAAAGGATGGCATCTCTCCAACATCAATTCCCTCAGCCATCTGGTGAACTTTCTGAGTGAGCTGCTCTCCATAACTAGTGGGGAAAAAATTATGTGATGATTGTACACAGATGATATACATATACAATTGTCACACACATTTCTTGGCATATTTACTATGTGTGTGTGCTTGTGTTGAATGTATTTTAAAGCATGTGACATAGGCACAGTCATGGGGGGAAATGTGTAATGTGGGCAAAGCCACCACATGGGTGGCACAGTGGCACAGGCACAGCCATGACATGGAGGTGGGGTGGGGGATTCCCGTGTGACACAGATGCCATAGTGGAATATGTGGATTAAATATCAATTGAAAGGGGGGTGGGGGGTTAGTATAGCACATAAAACATGCCCACATAAAAATAAAAATACCACAGGTAACCCGTGACATCTTTTGTTACATAGTTACATAGTATTTGAGGTTGAATAAAGACATTAGTCCATCAAGTCCAACCTATTAGGATCTCATTCTAGGAGTACCTGTACCCCTGTATATTACGGTCCCTTAAGAAATCGTCCAAAAGTCTCTTGAACAATTCCACATTCTTTGCTGAAATCACTGTCTGTGGCAGTGAGTTCCAGACCCTAACTGATCTTACTGTGAAGAACCCCCTTCGCCCCTTGTGCTGGAATTTTTTTTCCACCAATTTTAGGTGGTGGCCTCTAGTTTTTGTAATGGAGTTAATTTTAAACAGTTTATCGCTAATGTTGCTAAAACTGGGAGTTTTATCATGTGTGTCAAACCCGTTTCCCTCCTGAGTGTATACCGAGGAGAAAAAAGCGTTCAGCGCCTCGGCCCTCTCCTTGTGGGGGCATCTTTTTTGTGCAATAGTACATATTGTCCAATACAGATGTCACCAGCACTAAGACTCCATGTTAGTGCACGTCCATTTTATTGATAGTTGTCATTCAAATGACAAGTGCTTTCGGGGCCACACAGGGTCCCCTTCATCAAGCTCAGAAATGACAGTGCATGAAAGTACCACAACCTTTGTAGAGACATTCTAGTATATCTATACAAAGGTTGTGGTACTTTCATGCACTGTCATTTCTGAGCCTGATGAAGGGGACCCTGAGAGGCCTCCGAAAGCGCTTGTCATTTGAACGACAACTATCAATAAAATGGACGTGCACTAACATGGAATCGTGGTGCTGGTGACATCTGTATTGGAGATCTGTTGTGAGGGGCGCCATTCGCAGTCATTACGAGCACCCGTTACTTTTGGGATATCCGGTACGGAGTGCAGCAAGGTATATGGATACTGCTTGGTATAGTACATATCTGGGGACCTGTGGCACACTGGCATCTTATGGGGGCATGGTTTACGTACAGAATGCATATCTGGGTACCTGTGGCACACTGGCATCTTATGGGGGCATTGTTTGTGTACAGAATGCATATCTGGTGACATGTGGCACACTGGCATCTTATGGGGGCATTGTTTGTGTACAGAATGCATATCTGGGGACCTGCGGCACACTGGCATCTTATGTGGGCATCTTTTACATACAGAATGCATATCTGGGGACCTGCAGCACACTGGCATCTTATGGGGGCATTATTTGTGTACATCCTATGGGGGCATTATTTGTGTACAGAATGCATATCTGTGGACCTGCGGCAGACTGGCATCTTATGGGGGCATCTTTTACGTACAGAATGCATATCTGTGGACCTGTGGCACACTGGCATCTTATGGGGGCATTGTTTATGTACAGAATGCATGTCTGGGGACCTGTGGCACACTGGAAAGTTGTGATTAGCACCAATGTTATTTAAATCACAAAATATATGCATAGTGTATACCTTACAAAAATCACCATATGGGGGGAGGATATATGAGGTGAGGACAGTCACCATGGGGGGATATATGAGGTGAGAACAGTCACCATGGGGGATACGTGTGACCTGTGCTCAGCCAGGTACATGTCATGCTCTCACCGGTTTCCTATGAAGACAACGTTGCTCCAAACCACAGACAGGGCGATGAGTTGGTCCATCTTCCGCCCGGGGTAGAGGTGGACATGACGGGTCAGGAACTCTCTACGGGACATCCACTGCTTGTCAGTCTCATGGTAGTGGCGGAACTCCTCCAGACACATCGGCTTTTCCATACCGAGGCCGTACTCCATCGGTGAGGCCATCTCCGTCAGGTGACTCTCTACACGACGGGAGCACCGAGACTCTCCGGCTCCCGACACACTAGGCCGGTTGTTCTATATGAAAAATCTAACGGATCACCATTACCGGGTTCGGGGGATGGAATTGCGATTCACGTCTAATGCGGCGCTACACATGAACCATAGAGAAGAGGTGAGTGGGCCACAACAGAGCGGAACCATAGAGTCTTACCCACTGTTCAGGACAAGCCGCGCTGCGACCTCTGCTGGAAGTCCGGAGTAGTGGCGGAATGTCTGAGCTCGCAGAAGAGCGGAGGGGTCTTGAGGGAAATTGCTTATAACAAGCAGATTTTTAGTTGTAGTTTAGCACCTAATGAATAAAAGATGAAAACAATGGCTGCTATAAACTCTTCTCCACAGTACTCTTATGGCTTAGACCCAATACATATGACAAGTGTAATTTCCATATATCTGCACGGTGCATCAGCCATGTGGACATCAGTTCATTTGTACAACCTCTTCTCCCTGTATTATAAAGACATCACTTTACCTACTGCCCTACAGATCTCCATTTCTCTGGAAATGCAGGTGGCAAAGATAAATCGAGTTCAATAAACTCACTCAAATGACGACCATTGTCTTCCTTTTTATATCTGATTCAGATGACGACTATTGTCTTCATTTTTACTTCTGAAACAAATAATGATGATGACAATTGTCTTCCTTTTTATTTCTGACCCAGATGATGGCGTTGTCTTCCTTTTTATATCTGACCAAGATGATGGCCGTTGTCTTCATTTTTATGTCTGACTCAGATGATGGCCATTGTCTTCCTTTTTATTTCTGACCCAGATGATGATGACCACTGTCTTCCTTTTTATTTCTGACCGCACATGACGGCTATTGCATTTTAGTTGGTGGGAATCTGATGCCAGGGGACACTGGTAGTAGCTGTAGTGTTATTGTGGGTCAAATTTGGACCCATCATGTATTCTGACACTTCATCTCAGCTAGGGAATTTGGTTCAGTTTTGATTCAGTATTTTGTCTGTCTAGGTCAGGGGTCGCATGTGGCTCTTCCATCCCCCTGCTGCGGCTCCCTGTCCAGGGCAGATCAGCATTGCAAATCTTATGTGCAGGAGAACCGACCCGCCCTGGAACAGCTGATCGGTCCTGAAATGTCACTTCTATCCGACTTTGTGAGTGCGGTGGAATGTGAGATCGCAGTCGCAGAGTCAAGTGACATTTCAGGACCGATCATCTGTACCAGGGCAGATCGGTTCTCCTGCACATGCGATTTGCGATGCCGATCTGCCCTGGAACACCTGAGAAAGCGCTGGAAGGCTTTACCTATTGGTGGTCACACATTCCCCCGCCAAAAAACTGGGCGGGATTACATTGAAATGTGTGACCACGTCACCGGTCACATATTGTAACGTAGTCACAAACTTTGATAGAACACCGCCATCAGGGGGGACACGGCTAGTACCCATGTGACGGGGGCCTCTTACATGAGTATCAGCTGTACCAGTGGCGGCATGGCAGAGGTGACAGGGGAGGGGGTGGAGGAGCCCGGGCACCAGCAGCAACAGGTAAGAGGAGTTGGGAGGAGGTACAGGGAAAGGGACCCCTGGCAACCAGCCCACCTGAGGCCCTGTGGAGCCCACCATAGAGAGTCTCAGATGGGCTGTGCAGGATCTATGGTGTGCTCTGCAGGGTCTCAGTTAAGCCGAGAGTCCAGTGTGTTACTAAGCCCACATATACCGATATACATACTATACATAGCATAAAGGTAATAACCGATATATGACGTCTTATCTTCATTTTAGATGTCAAAAGGGTTTTGTGGCTCCCAGTGTATTCTTTTCTGTGGGAAACAGGTCCAAATGTCTCTTTGAGTGTTCAAGGTTGCTGACCCCTGGTCTAGGTTATAGAGAATAAGTCTACATTTATACCTCTGTGTCTTACAGAAGTATTATAAAAAACAATATTCTTGCTGCATCTTTCCTGCAAAGCAACCGATTACCTGTACCAGAGACCACAGGCCAGGCCCCCGCTAATTTAATGGGGCCATGCATAAGACTCAGTGTACACAGACATTTAGGTGTTGCTACTGACATGACTTTGTGAAACATTTAAGGAAGGATTTGGAACGCTGTTTACATTTTGAATAGGATCCTGTGCAGCTGACGGAGCTTTTTCTCCCTGCTTGCATGTGTCCAATGGCTGCCTTTTGTATCTGTTCTTGCACTCCACTTAGATGTTCATATATGCAGGGCCTTAAAACCATAGTTCACTTTTCTGATCATATCTCATGTTACACCTATATTTAGGGTGAAACCTGTACACATTCCTCAACACCCACTTACCTGACTTGCAGGGTTCTTCTTCCCACAGGCTTTTGTTTAGATTTGAATTCAGCATCCTCTCAACCATATTATCCACTCACTGGATCTGTGAAGGGAGAAACTATAAGTCCCATGCGGCTGAGGGACTAATAGATCTCAGCGCACTATAAGTGCAGTTAGTAGTCCATTGACTGGTTCCTCCAGCCTCATAACCAAAGGACCATACCTCAGTATGAACCTGGGGTTGGAGGAACAGTTTGCAGGGGCCACAGCATTGTACCATCAATCCACTGATCACCATTGCAATGTTTTGCAGGCTTTAACCCTTTCGCTGCCAAGGACGTATGGCATACGGACCTACAAAAGTGCTTCCAGCTGGCCAGGTCAGTATGCCATACGGACCTGGCATTTACCAGCAAAAAAATAAATAAATGCACATTGTTTTGTTTTATCAATACATGTGCATTTATTATTTATTTCTAAAGGTGGACTATGACTTTAAAGTTCTGCTATTGTGATAAATATTTTGGTAAATACATGAATTCAGTGTATTAAATAAAATAAAAAAAATCATGTGTCTTTATATTTTTATTTCCACATTTACTGTATTTGCTGGCCAGTGCAAAAGGCTTGGGACACAGATGGGTTTACAATTGTTAACTTTTAATAGCCTGGTAAATGGGGGTCAAAGGTTACTGCAAAGGACATTAACACATTCATTCATTCAGAACACCCCTCCAACGCACATACAGTAGTTCCTAACACAGCTGCCCTATAACACACCATAAAATACAGCTGTGTGTTGTGATGCAAAGTGTTGGAAAAAATGGAGCAAGTGCATTTTTAGGTGTGTTGTGGTGATTTGACAGCTCCTTTAAAATTGGGTTCCCCAACACAATGCATGTTTATGTGCCACAACAATGTGAATGAGGCCTGCATAAAAACGCAGGTAGAATGGTACAGTATACTAAATCTGTTTGCTCAGCTTCGGCTGTGAGAATAGAATAGATCTTTTAGCTGGCAAAATATAACTTTGTTCTTTACAGGACAATTACATAGTAAGACCTTACCCACACAGCATTACTATGGTGCACCCCGACATCTTGCATGAAATGGTGGATTGAGGGGATTAACTTTTATTTCTCTATCAAGTAGATTTCCCCCTACTTTGTTCCGGGGAAACAACAGGAACAAGTGAAGAAAAATCTCACCAACAGGGACACAGACAGCAATAACAAAGCTTAGAATTTTCTAATGTCTCCACTCAGCTGAAATAGGCAAGTGCTTTAATTGCTGTCTGGATTGTAGGCATGTCTCTGTGAAGGTGGCCATACACTTTACAACCATCGCAAGACCTTAGTCTTACGATGGTTGTAAAGTAATTTAAAAAAACGTACAATCTGCCCATCTCTAGCGACACGTGGACATATTTTTTTGGGAGAATTAGTTGTGGCTTATTCATATGTAAAAGGCACCACCCATTAATATGTAAATATCACAGTTGAGACTATTTTTAGTGGGGGGCCAGTAGCCCCTATCTTAATTTTGGTTGCCTCTGTCTACCTGACATTGTGTCCGGGTTCCTGGTGCCATGAAACCTGGACACAGCATTCAAAACCCGAACTGTCCGGGTGAATCCTGGACAGGTGGCAACCCTAGCCCATCTTGGACAGGCAGATCGTGCTTGCGATGACCGCAATGCTGAACGGGCAGTGTTCGTACACCGGCCCGTTCGGCATTTACTCCCGAGCATCATTTAAACCAGCCGAAAATCGTAAGATTTTCGGCTGGTTTTCTAGCATGCTCCTTAGACAAAAGACGTGCGACCGTACAGTAGAAACGGTCGCACGTCTCCATTAACACTGCATGATTCTCGTACGATCGCGGGATTTCCCACGATTCTCGTACGAGAATCGTGCAGTGTATGGGCACCTTAAAAGGTGGCCATACACTTTACAACCCTCGCAAAACATTTGTCTTGCGAGAGTTGTAAAGTAATTTTAAAAAACGTACGATCTGCCCATCTTGGACAGGCAGATCGTACTTGCGATCATCGCAAGCCCGCCCCCCTGAAGGGAGGGCTTACAGATGATTGCAATGGTGAGCGGGCAGTGTGCGATTGCGCACCTCGGCCCGTGAGGCTTTCACCTTGCGATCGCGCTACCAACCTGCCAAAAATCGTACGATTTTCGCCAGGTTTTCTAGCACGCTCGTAATACGAAAGTCTTGCGACCGTACAGTAAATGCAGTCGCACGCTGCCCATGCGCCTTACGATTCTCGTACGATTGAGGGATCAGCCACGATTATCGTCAGGTGTATGGGCAGCTTTAAAGAAAGTGAGTGCAAATCTCCTCCCTGGGGACATAGCAAGAAAAACTCTAAAGGTGCCCATACACCTTACGATTATCGTACGACAATCGTATGCGATCGACTTTTCGTACGACAATCGTAATGTGTGAATAGAGTGCCCGACCGATAGTACTGTACAATCGTACTACTTTTGACGGTCAAGCATGTTTGAAAACTTTGGTCGATCGTGCAATGTTCGCATGGTTGGTGGCGTTTCCGTCCGTCAAAAGTCGTACGATTAACACTGCGCATGTGCAAACGAAAACAATTGCGGTCAATTACTGCAAGTCGTCCAGGTGTTTTTTTTAACTACCGCTAATTGGACCT